GAGCAGCGTTATGCTGCCAGAGTGTTGAGGAGCAGTGAGTGAGAGGAGTAGTGGAGTGGAGGTCTGCAGTGAGAGAGGAAAGGAGAGGCTGCCATGGCCACTGTGCTGCGTGGAAACTCTGCCCGTTTTGCACGGCGGCGGCAGGTCTTCGGCAAGTGGTGCAGGGGAAACTCTGCCCGTTTTGCACGGCGGCGGCAGGTCTTCGGCAAGTGGTGCAGGGGAAACTCTGCCTGTTTTGCACGGCGGCGGCAGGTCTTCGGCAAGTGGTGAGGGAAACTCTGCCCGTTTTGCACGGCGGGGGCAGGTCTTCGGCAAGCGGTGCAGGGGAGACTGCCCGTTTTGCACCACGCCAGCAGTGCGTTTTAGGCGGTGACGCGGAAGCGCTGCCGATTTTTTTTGCGGCATCGACACTGAGGCTTTGGTGGTGACGAGGAAGCACTGCCAAAATCTTTCGGCGTCGACGGTGTTTTTTTGGCAGCAACACGGAAGTGCTGCCGAACTTTGCGGCGGCAACACGTTGACGCTGGTGATGGTGTCGTGGTGACGCTAGTGGTGATTGGTGGCAGCATTAACCGCAGTGGTGCGTGAGACTGCCCAGGTTGTCTTGACTGTGAGGGACATTTTGTGGCAGCGTGTTCTCGTATTGACGGCAACGGCGTGGTGGTGCGGTTGGTGTGACGGTGACGCTGGGACGCTGGGACGCTGTCAGATTACTGGGAGATGAATGTGTGTTGAGAGGGTGTCGCGGCAAGCGATCATTCTAGGGAGTGGTGTGGATCGCTTTGCGGGCGACTCGTTGTGACGATTGTCTCATCTGGAGTGCGATTTTACACGGTTTTCTTGAGTGGGTCGTCTCTTCAACTTCACTCGAGGTCAGGGAATTTGACTCAGACCCTTCACACCTGTGTGAACCCACACTTGCTTGACCCGGTTCTTCACTGAAGAGGTAGAGGAAGTTGTGTTTTGTCTGCACGTGTGAATGAAAGTCTGACGGGAGTTTGAATTGCAATGTGTTCTTTTGAACTTGTTGTTTGATCTGATGTGCAGGTAGATAGAAGGATGACCAAAAAAGGGAATCTGACCATGTCAATGGCAATGAGAGAATGATGTTTGTTTTCAATCGCTGACTTGTATGTATGTTGAAGGAATGGGAAGTCAGTAGACGACGAGGAACAAAAAGATTACGCAAAGAAGAAGAAATCGATTGGACATAAAAAAAAATTCCTGAGTTGTCCATTCTTTCCTGATTGACCCTCCCTGTCTATGCCCGTCTATCTGAATGATTCTCTTTTCTGTGATCTCTTTTCTTCGTCCAAGTTACCTTTGACGTCAGGCGACAAAGGACCATTTTGCCTGCCGTGGTAGACGTGTTCCCCATTCCTAGGAGGCATCTGAGGTGGGGGTTTGCTGCCTTAGGGGCCGACCCTACTAACGATTTGGAGTGGACCGCTCATGCGGGGGGGATACCATGTTGTTGTGGTGGAGCCAGCTTGACTTCTGAGATCCGAGGTTCGCTCGGGCGAGGACGAGGGGTATCCTAGACCACGTCCTAGGGAATTGATATACGCCTATCCACGCAAGGGCCTTAAGTTTCTTGACGCCTCGCGTTAAGGGTAGATGCCATAGCATACCCCTCTAGTGGCTGTTTTAGGAGCCAGTGACATATGGGGAACTGGCGCCAGAAGAGCCCAGTTTGTGTACTCACTAGTCGTGGGTGGAATGCGAGTAGGCACTACCTTCTCGGATAGGTTTGCACCATAAGAAGTGCAAACCTAGGGAAGTTGAGATGGGTTGATAGGAAGTTGTGACTAGAGCAACGCTTTAAAAGATTCTAATGATGAGAACGGGTACTTCATCGTTTGTGGGACGGAAAAAATCATTGTTGCCCAGGAGGACAAAGCAACCAACAAAATTTGGAAGCGGATTCTCGTCCTTAATGGGGCACTAAGTGTTCGATTGTTCAAGTCGGTAAGTGGTAGCCGAATTACTTGCAGATGGCATTCACACCAAAGTTAGAAAGGTAGTGAAGTCATCATTAAAGCAATGGCATCCTAGCTCTACTTGAGAGTTGGGATTTGTTTGCGTTTCTTTTCTAGCAGTCAGTATGGGACGGAATGAAAGAACTTGGCAACACATCTCATCAAATCGAAAAGTTGTGTCAGCCCAACCATTTGGTAGGGAAAGTGGAGATATTTTGGCCAGATGACATTTGAGCGTCGTTACTCATGTTAGTCTTGCTTTCAACCTATTGTTGACAAGTGTTATTCAAAGTCGAGTCAACTCATTATGGCTCGTTGTTGAGTGACAAGACGAGTCAGCCTTTGTCGATTTGATCTGGACGAGTAGGATGTATGATTGTATCGATCTTAAAAGATAAGTCAACTTACGCTGACCTACCTGAATTTTTGAAAGAGTTATGTCTTATTAACTTTTAATTATCTTCGAAAGAAGGGACTAGGATCGCTTGAAGCTTTCCTTACGCTTGGAATATCACGTCCTAGTCGACCGGCGTACGTTCCGATTCTTGGGAGATCAGCGCCCCAGGGATGGACGACGTTCGGGTCCACTTTGGCATTCAAACCATGCGTACCTATGCTACAGCGAACAAGCAAACGCCCTCGGTCGGCCTACCTCTGCAATTGCATTATAAAAGCTTTCGCATGTGGGTCGGTAGCTCGGCGGGGATACGCCCCTAAGGGTGGTGACAACCCCTTAGGGAAGGTAAGTTGTGCCCCGCGAGAACCTATCCTGTCGTAGGGGACCACGGGATGTACACCTGGCGCACTCGGCTGGAGCGGCAAATGGTCGGCGTGGGTTACTGTGTCGTCCCCGAGTTGTCTTTAAAAAGTTGAAAGCCTAAGTTTCTCCTGCGTGACGTGGCCGGGAGGGCCCTCGCTCGCGTGGGGGCCGATGCGCTCGACAGCGTGCATGCCTTTGTGGCATGATGCCATGGTGTTGACGTGGCACCTATCGATAAGTGCAACGGGATTTATTGCGTGACGTGGCACTCTGCAGATTGTCACGACTTACCTTTTGACGTGGCACCTTCAGAGTAGCAGCAACATACCAGGTTGACGCGACTTACGGAAGTCGACATTCCAATGGACATATACGGATTGGGCGGTCTCTTGTTGCTCACGTGATTGCAAAGCATCTCCATTTTGACAGTTGTATCGGCCCTTGATGTCGACGTGGCATTTCTCATGATGATGTGTCGCTAAGGCATGATTGGAGTGTGACACGTGGCGGATCTGACGTACACTGCTATTCATAGGAAGATTGGTGCGAACAGATACTTGCACTTGTGAAATTTGACATGCGGTACAGCATGAGTTTATGTGCCACTCGTCAGAGCATGTGCTTAGAAACACACAACCATCTAAGAGAAGACGGCGAAGGAGAAGATCAACTAACACATTGTTTGATTGTTGTATTGTTGATTGATTGATCATACTTACCTGTCGTGGGTTGTCCTGTGAATGACTGCAAACTCACTATTGTTGTGTTGTCTTGATCACATTGGTCGTGGCTACAGAACCTGTACAGTATATAGGAAAACATGATCAGAAAGGCAATCATCAGAGTCAAACATAGAAAAATAGAGATTCTGTTTTCGTAGTTAATTTATTTTTATTTCTTATTTCTTGTCGTGGAAACTGAAATTCGTTTTGCAGTGTGGCCGTGAAATTTGTAATTGTTTCAAGTGTATTGTGCGGCACAGGGAAAGATGACTTACCTCCAGAACTGCTTTTGTGTGTATTTTCTCACTCGTTTCATCCCTCTAATCTTCTCTCCCATCTCGATTTCCTTCTTCGCTGATGGAGGCGAAGGAATGAGAACTCGTGGCCGTCTTCGGCAGCTGCTCGTTTGATTGCATGACATTGTGCCAGACGCTGAACAGCATGTACGCAGCCAGTTCGATCTGCGTGTTGCAGAAGACGAACTGACGCAGGCTGAAATTGTTGTGCAGATGCTGGAGACCAGCGGTAAAGTGCAACAGATCATTGATCGACGGTGAATGACCCTCGATCATTTTGTTGCTGAGCAGTTCGTGAAGATAGCTAGAGAAGAGGTCAAAGGAGAAGGGAAAGGACATCGAGTGAAAGGAGGGAGGAACCAGAACTGACATATGGGATTATGGACGACCTAAAAGTTGCATTGGAAGCAGAATTGAAGAAAAAAGAAGAATACCAGAGGCAATGAAAATAACAAGAACAACAGGCAAGGAAGGTACAAGAAATGAAGCGTTATCTTCACTACAAAACATGATGACCTACCTCGCACACTTGGAGATCAAAATTAACGATGTCATTGCAAAATTGTACACGATGACCAAACTTGTAAAAGGGAGGAATAAACTTGTGCAAGAAGAGGTAGTCGAGGAGAAAGAAGAGAAGAAAGAGCCTCATGAGAGAATGATGAAAGACTTCATGAGATCCTGAGATTCGAAAGAACGCGAACCCGCTAAGAAGGAAGCCCCAAAGACGGAAGAAGAGGAAAGAAAAAGTCAAAATGAAAGTTACCATCTACTTACAACGGTAAGAGAGGAGAACAATTGTGGCTATGGATTGTCGAAATCCAAACCTATTGTGGGACCACACCAATGGTTGAAGACAACCAAGTCGCTTTCTCTGCCTCTTACTTGGGAGAAGTTGCGAAAGAGTGGGTTATGTCTGAGGCCAACACCGCAGGCTTCGAAGATATTGGTGAGTGGGTCAAAACCATGACAATGCGGTAATCTCTCCAGAAGATAAAGAAGAGATTCCTCGACAAAACGACTGGCGACAAGGCATTTGACGAACTCTCTACCATCAGTTCGAAGCGTTGGTCCATCGTCGAAACTTTGTCACGTGAGGTGGATCGTCTTTTGCAGGTAACCTTCATGATAACCAGGTTCTGTATATCTACTCGTGTGCATTACCAGACCCTGTACGCAAACAACTTGTGGCGGAAGCAAAGTCTGGTAAGTATAATTATCGGCAGTTCGAGGACCTCCCACTCTAGAGAGAACAAATGACTGCAGAGGTAAAGGAAACCTATGCAAATGTTGTGAGGAGTGGGCAGACGGGTGGGTACGGGAACAAAAAACGAGTCCTGTGGAGGCAGAAGCGACAGGACCACACTCTTGTTGAGAAATGGCTCCTCAAAGAGGCCAAAGGCGAAGCAAGTGGTGGCGGTGAGTCAAGAAAGGGTGATGTCACCGCACTGGTGGCCAACAAAGGTGGCTCCAACCGTAATGGTGGATCTTAGAAGAGGAGCCTACGCT